AAAATATTGCTTCTTAGATTTCCGAATACACGTTAACCGTGACAGAATAAGCATAAGCCTAGCCTAATTTTTTTTTGCTTTTCAGTATTCGAATGGGGGGGGGGGCGTCTGGGGGAGGCGCAAGCTGTTTGTGTGAAGGCCTACGCCCCCCTTGGATACGCCACTGCAAGTAGGTGAAGGAATATATTTCTCATCTAATTTAAGCATGAAAAAAAATATCAACACGTAATACTTGTACCCAATTTACACAGAAGCCCTTGTTTTATTTTTTGTTTTTTTTGTTTTTAAACTGCCGCTGAACAGGGCATATTTTGATATCCCTGCAGCTCAGCGACAAAGGTATATCCCTGCGGTTTGGGTGCTGGCTTGGAATTCTTTTCTTGTATTTTTTTCAAAACACATCTGCTCACTGTTGAGTATAGAGACCCCTGTATTTTGCATGGTATATGAATAACCTTTAAACTTCTTCACTTGAGATGCTTGTGTGCAGTGTGTGTGTGAGTTGGTCTTTTGTTGTATGTGTATTAAGGTATAAAGTTAATAAAATATTTACTGTTAATTTTCTTTGAATCTTCATCATCTGTATCTTATTATGATGAAAGTATATTGTTTTGTACTGATGGAAATAAAAGTATTAATCAAGCTGTTACATTCGTCATAATTTTATTAATAATATTTAACTCTGTGCGAATTATAAATGTAATATGAATGAAAACACTGACTGAATGAATGAAACCCAGATCATCTGGCCTCTCCAAAACCGAACAAGCTTTAACATGGAGCGATTCTTGTTGCAAGTTGTTAAATTTGACGAAATAATGTGTATTGATTGTGTATTAGTGGAAAATTCCAATGATATATACATATCTCATGGTAATTATACAAATTTAGAGAAGGAAATTAAAAATATCTGAATGTGGTTTAGGCATGATGCTCAGTGGTGTGCAGTCAGACGTGTCTTCTGAATAATCAATCACATTCCTACGGTGTAAATATTCACATTCACAATGTGCGCTATCTGTTAAATTTGTTTCTTTTTTCAGAAAGAAACAATCTTCCTAATTATACAGACAGCATTGCTCATTGGTTATGCTAAAAATATTAAGCTAAAAAATTGCACAGTAACAGTGCTCACTGAAGTTTGCCCACCGATATAATCCTGTTAGGATAACAGGATTGCATAAAATAAGTAGGTACCCCATAAAAAGATTATTAGTTTATCACCCTATCAAAAAAAAAACCTGATAAGGAAGGGAGGCTTTTTTTTTGTATTATATACAACTTCTAAACTACAATCATCTTTCCAAATCATAAAGAGTTAAACCTAATCATATAAAATACATAGCCATACAAGCAAGGTTTAGTCGTGGCTATTATGATAACATATTTATTCAATACGTAAAAAGGCAAAATTAACTATCAACATTCAAGCATCATCAGGGGCGGATCCAGGATTTGAAAAAGGGTGGTTTAAAATATTTCTAATAATTTTGATTCCTAGATGGCCAAAAATTATCTTTCCCGACTTCTGAGGTGTCTTTTAATGACCTTTAAGTTCTTCAAAATTCAAGGGTGTCCCCCTCTTGAAAAAGGTCAGATAATTTTATCTCTTCCTAGAGAAAAAAAAAATTAGAGACATAGGCAATATGTTATTATGTTCTAACAATATTGAATAGTTGGATACGCTAGTCTTTCTTTAATGGGTTGATGAACCGATAGGCATGAAGAACGCACTTTCGTACATAAATTATTCCGTCGTCGAACCAAAAACAGTGTTTTTAATTTAATTAATATTAAAGGCTAGTTGAGCTAAGCATATTTTGTCCGATCTGCCAACCTATGCCTAGGTAGGTTAGCATGCCTTTTGTAAGCCAGGACTCAGTAGTATTTTGTTACGTTTCAATTGTCAAGGGACCCACACCATATTGAGAGCTTATGATAGTAATTATTACTTTTGAAAAAAAATATTGAAAAAAAAATTCTACTTGCAATTTCTATGGGCCCCCTGTAGGCTTGGGCCCTGGGATCTTTCCTCCTGCCCTCTCTCAGTGGCCCTGGACACAAAAATACCATGATCAGTTGTAAATGCATATGTTGTACAGTATATAATATATTGGTATATGTAGTGCTTGCAGTATACCACGTAGATAGTTCTGAAAAGAACTGTTCTTTTCAGCACTATGTAGTGTACTGTACTGTAGCATGAAATATATTATTTCTTTAAACCTTCAAACAATTGGATTGTGACATGCAGATAAAATGCAAACAAAAATGATAAGCTTTACAGGAAACTCAGGAAGGAAGCAGTTAATAGATTTAATCCAATAAAGTTGAACCATTGTGAAGTTACATACTGTAGATGCAGTATTTACATTTCATGTAGTTCTACTACTATCTATATATACCCCCTGGTCCATAAGTGGGGCCCTGACAGCCCCATGGCGCAGCCTAATGCTTGCACCACGGGGAAGAGATGCTACAGTAAATTATTTTTCTTCGCTATGCTGGCGTAAATAAGTGGTAAATAATTGAGCTTTTTCTTCTCTTTAACTAAAATTTTTCTTCCTCTTTTTTAATATTATTTTTCGGCTTGACTGAGGGTGGGGGGAGGGGAACGGGCCCTTATTCCCCCATGGGTCCGCCACTGTGTCAAGAAAAATTATATATAGTATATTAAAAGTCTTCCTCCTCTTCATCTGACCCTTCCTCTATAATTTCGGTAGGTTTGTCCACTATTCTATCCTTATTTTCAACTAAGGGCCATTCTATGTCATGGATGACTTCCCTTGGATCTTCTTTTAACATTCGTTGATTCACCCTCTTTAGTGGACCACCATACATAGGACGTATTTGGTACACATCATTCCCTTAGTTGATATCTTACAATGTAAGAATCTCTATAAATCTTATCTTCCAGCTTGTGTCGTCTGGTGAATGCCATTCTCTGTAATAAAACCTGACCGATTTCTAAATTTGTGGATATGACATTATTTGGATTGTTGTTATTGCTTTGAGCTGTTTTGACAAGTTCCGTAGCACTTTGGTTTATTTATTCTTTAAAAATTCAAGATTAATGTATTTTTATGTATATTTATATTATGACAGAACTGACATGACTCTTCGGGGTCACCATCCATCACCAGCCTGGCGCATTCCCGAAACCCTGTCTAGGTGGCTTGAACAAAGGAATTGGAAAAACATTTGCCCTGCCACAGACGACCGGTTGCTCAGGAATTATGATCGAGACAATGGCTCCAAAAAATAAATGTAAACGGCTTTACCACACTTTACAAGACTTTTCCAATCGGAGTGATTGTTAGCCAATATAGGGCCTACATAAACCCAATTAATTTCCCTTTTGATCCTATTTCACAGTCGTATAAAGAATGCGATACAATGTGCGCAGAAAGTTATGGAATTATTAATGCTTTAAATCTATATAAGGCTGGAATGTATGTGTCTTGCGTTCAAGAATTTAAAAGTGACGTGTATGCTTTGTTTACAATGCTACAGTTAATAATGCTATATAATTGTACTGGTTATGAAGTTACAGGAGTTTAAACATACAGCTGTCTGAACAGAACAAAGACAACATAAGAAATCAGCCCCCAAAGTTTATGATTTTGGACGTTTCTCAGGCCTAAACGATCAGTAAGTCTTTGAAAATTGTAGTTTTGACATTGGAAATGGGGAAGATATGTTATGTTAATTTAGTGTAATAAAATAGATTTGAAAGATTTTTACATTCGACCATTAACTCTGAAACAGGATTTTCAACGAGCAACTTGTTTGGCTTGTCTTTGCTACATACTGCATGTTGATGATTGAACCTTGGTTGAATTAAAGAAAGTGAGATCTCATCTTGACAAACATGTGCTGTAGATAGTCTTGCTGATTGGTCTAAAAATTTTTATATGAAACTGAATGCAAAAAAATGATTTGTAATGGATGTAAGCTTCGCAAAGTCATCTCCTATACCTGCAACACTATTTATTGATGCGTATTTGAAGTATGCCATTGTTCAATGTTACGACATGTGAAGATGAGATAACAGAAAGAGTGAGACTAACAACATTTTACAAATTTACACTAACTAAATGTTTATTATTTAAATATAAATAATATAAATGAAATGATTTGGTACAAAATACATGACAATACTTGCTCTGGTTTAGCCACCGTCGCTCAACATTAAATCTTCAGATCCAAAGTAAAGAAAAATGAATTACAGTCTATTTGTGTGTGAAAAAATAGGTTCCTCGGCTGGAATTCGAGCTTGGGACACTTCTGCGGTCTATGCAGAACTATACTGTACATCACTATCTATATATTTATATATACAGTTTTCAAATTATAGGATTGCTGTTTAGCACTGTAAACACTATAAACAAATACATAATAACTAAGAACATGATGTTATAATCGTATCAAGCACAGCCCTTCAGTGAAAAAAATTCCTTATTGTATTTTTATGAAAAATGTGTCTCTGGCATGATTTTATCATGCAACCTCTTACTATTAGGTCAAGTATCATACTTTTAGTCCACAGAGGGCACTAGGTTTAATGGTCTGTTTACATTATATGTAAAAAGTTTTATCTATAGGATATAATTGGAATTGCAATTTATGATTTTTCTATATAAAATAAAGTATTTCAAAATTTATTAGTTAAAAGTATCATTATTAATAATTATTTATTCTATTAATAATCAATTGAATTTCTTAGAAGGCAGCACTTTTCTAATAATTGGTTTTGATTATAATTGCTGCAAATACTAGTATTATTAAGCGATGCTTTTAAATCAACATCAGTAATTAAAAATTTTAACATTGTTTTCTGAGTAGTTAGCTACGGCTACCCTTCTAGGTCTAGAGGAAATTACTGAGATTCCTGCGGGTGTAGCTAATTCCTCATTTTCATGATCTATTCGCTTTATGAAGACACCATTTTTATCAAATAACTGTAGTTTATGATTACTTGATATTAATATATTTTCATCCATGTCCATGGTTACACCACAAGGATGCCAAACTTTACCATCTTCTTTACTACATCCTACAAGGACTTTCATTAACTTGTCATTTGTACCAAACATTTGTATTCTGTTATTTTCAAAATCTGCAACAATGACATAACCTTCCTTGGTTAAAGTGACATCATAGGGTTTATTCATTTGACCTACTTCACTACCTTTGGAACCTATCTTACCTAACAGTTTACCATCAGGAACATTGAATTTAAACACACAGTGAGCCTCACGGTCTGCTACATACAATACTCTACTTTGCTTGTTTACTGTCAGGCCATCTGGATATTTCAATGTTCCTTTTCCAAATGAGCAAATTTCTTGATATTTGTCATCACACAATACAACACATTTCTTTAAGTAATCACTGTACACCATGCGACCACCACCCAGTTGATGCATTTTGATGACCTCAGCATCTTGTGGCATGGCCTGTATTCTAGCAACAAAGGAACCGGATTGGTCAAACTTTAGTACATCTTCACTGTAACTTGATACTAATAAGCATCCATCTGTGTCTAACACTACATCTGTCACTTTCCCTGCTTTGTTATGTTCTTTGTATTCTGATATGTTACCAATCTCATAGATAAGTCCCAGTTTTTCCACCTTGATATTCACTGGTGATCCTTTGATATGTGCAGCTCCAGCAGTGATCTTCATTTTCCAGTCACCTTCAACATTGCATCTACTTTTTATTCTGTACTCTCCATTTCCTTGATATACTACTTCAGTGGCAGATTCTTCTCCTAATGAGCTCCTTAGAGTGGCAGATAATTGACCAGCATCCTTTTCTGCTAGACTTGATATTTTCACTACAAACAGTTGTCCTTTTGTGACAGTAATTTCTTCATCATCTTTAGCTACCCTGTACATGCCATCAACAGATATGATTTTACCAAAACCATCTGTATTCATCAAATCATCCAAGTTTTCTGATGGCGTGAAATGTGGTGTAATATTTCTTTGATTAAATAATTGATCAAAATCAGCTCCTAGAACAATTACCTTGTCACTAATAGGGTTGATAGTCACCTTATGAGATTCAAGAGTTTCTGTTTCTTGTGGTTTATTCATTATATCATCGATTGAGTTCATCACACTATTAACTTGGGTCAGGGTTTCATTAATGTCTTGAACCTTACTGTCAATGTCTTCTTTCTTTTCTTTGTATATTCTTTCAAGGTCTGAAATGAATTCTTTGCTTTTCTCTTGAACTTTCCTGATAAGCGTCTGCTCCCTAACTTCAATAGCTGTTCTGCATAACTTTAGATGATGTTCGAAGTCAGATATATCATTAGGAATGAAAGCTAGTGTTCCTTGCAATTTGCTCTTTATGCCCTGAGCTATTTTAATAACTTCAGTAGCCTCTTGATTAAACTTTTCTACAGCGATCTTCATTTCAATCACATCATGTTTATTTTGTAAACAAAGATAATGTTCACATTTCTTGCAAGTGGAATATGATTTCTTGCAAGTGGAACAGTAAAATTCTTGTACAGAATTTGGTCTACCATCTTTTTCTAATGTGTAAAATTGGTGGTCTTTCAAATCCGGTGTAATCTTGTGACGTTCAGTGCAATGTTCACATAAGTATAGAAAGCATTCAGAACAGTGGAATTCTGGTAGATTATCACAGCTTGAACATGTAGTTGGTTTTTCTGACTCTACTTTTTCCATATTTTCAAGTAGATAACTAATCATTTTATTACAACCTAGTGATATTAGATCCACTCTTCCTATATCTTGGTCCTCTTGACGACATTGTGGACATTTTAAATGGCCATCAGTTTGAATTAGTTGGTCTAAACATTTAAGACAATAGCTATGTTGGCATGTAAGTGTCCTTGGCTCTTTGATCTTCTCAAAACAGATTGCACACTGAAGGTTGTTTTTGTCAAAGAATTGTAATGGCTTGCTAGCAGACATCTGTAGAAAAAGTATACAAATCATTGTTAATTTTTGTTTGTAATCTCTTTAATGTTCCACCCTAATTATAAAATTTATGAAATGGGATATGCTTGGGGATATTTGTCTTCAATCACTTTTTTTATGAAGTTCTCACCTTGAATAAAGTTTCTGCTAGTAGAAGAGAAGATATGCCTCCTGTTGATCAGTTGTATGTAGACGTTTTCTGAAATAAGCAATGATTATGAATGTGAATACTATAGTGTCACAATCTACCAAGTCTAATGCAATGTTCCACAAATGTATGTATTGCTTGTTTTGACGTTATAATTTTGATGTTATCTATAATGTGAAATAAAATCTTAAAACTTCACTATTATTGAAAAAAATAATTTTTAATATCCAGCAAATATTCAGAAATATTAACTTATTATCTGACATAAATTTTTTTGTTAAACTCATTTTTCTCAGTAATCAGACATACAGCTTTTTATTTTAGAAATTCCATGAGTATAATATATGTATTCAATATGCTTAAAAATTCTTTAATTGTTAATTCCACCCACTGAAGTCATTGGTATCAGTTCCTACTTTATTGAGTAATATATTGATAATTGTAGGGTACTTCAAAGCTCTTTGCAGTGGCGTAGCTTGGGGCTTCGGGTCTTGTGGTTTATTAGATTGGGCCCTTCCAGAGTCACTGTCACTGCTAATGGTGGGATGGGTGTATTCAATGTAAACACCAAGGATAAAACCCACAAAATTCTGAAGAAGGCTTAATTCCTGTGTTGACCTTCTAGTGGTGGTTGGTACACTGGGGGACAGTCTCTTTGGGCAGTATACTGGGGACATAGTACTCTTTTCCGAAGTGTGTACTGCATTTTTTAACATGCAACTGGATCATAATGCACACAGGACTAACGGCTTAATAGTCTCTTCCGAAAGAGGGTGCGACATCATAACTTGCATTTCAGCCCTCTAGCTGAAACACAAGGAGAGCGCTGGAAATTTTACTGGGGACCTATGGATATACACAGTTCAGAACACACTTAGCTGACTGAGCTACATACAGTAAGATGCTTTTAAGGTTGGGGTAGTGGGTTCGATGGGAAAAGCCTCTTTGTTGCCAGAGTCATTTTAAGATTTTAGATGCAAACATTTGATACAAATTCAGTGCTTTTTTTTATTATAATATAGGGGAAAGTTGAATTTTTTCTGGGTTTTAAAGCATTTAGCATTTTCAAATCTATAGTTAAGAGCAAAATGATTGCATAACACTGTTACATGGCCTGCCTTCCAGCAAGATAAGCCTTTTTAGCTCATTAAAAAATTTGTTTCATTGGTAAAAAAAACTAAATAAAATGCCAAAAGCCTTAATTTCGTACATTGTGGGTCAGTTAGTCGTGGCAAACAATAATTTTTTTGTATTTGGCCTTACTACTGTATGTGATGGTCTTTGTCTTGCATTATGGCTACTATTTTGTCATAGACTTTCCCATTGCATATGTCATCAATTAATATATTCAGCAGGAAAGGGGTTTAAATTATTGTAGTTTAGCGGATGATATTTCAGAGCCTCCACAAGCCCCTCGTGGCCCAATTGGTCCATCAGAAATTCCTTTGGTCCCTATGGATTGTGACAGACTGCTGCACAAAAGAGAGCATATTTAGTGTGTGCATAAGCTCATTAATTTCAATTTGTCAATCATAAATCATTTATATTTTTAGAACATGAAAAGAAACGTAATGTGTTTGTGAATTTCAAAAGTGTTTTTGTGAATTTCTTAAAATTTTAATTGTAGATAAAAAAAATGAATGGATGAAAAGGCAGCGACTATAGAGAAATAGTATCAAAAACATCTTCAACATATTTTAATGTAACTCATTAGAACAATTAGAATCTTACTCGATCTGTACAATTTTTGAAGATCCAACGTTTAATGTAACAGTGAATTTAATGATTCAAAACTTTTGGAGGCACAGGAAGTACTATGATTTTGTATCCCTAGGGACCACGGATATACGGTTGAATGCTCTCATTTTGTGCTTATGTTTTGTACTTTATTATTTTCTCATGTAGACAAGTAGAATACAACATTCTGCTGTTATTAATTAGGCTGTAAAAAACAGTGTACTTTTTCTTGCGGAAAATTTTTGATCACAAAAAAATTTAGACGCACTGAAAAAGTATTGAGAACCCTTACTGGTATTAGACAGTGGCACAGTGAAAATACTACACAGCTTATGCCTACGCTTGGCACAAAAATGCAAACCTTCATTATACACTACTGGCACAAAATTTCATGTTTTTCACATTTTTGTTTGCACATATTTAAGGCCAATTCTTATGAACATGTGAGGGAAGGTCATGAAAAAGGAAACATAGAAATCTGGGAATTTAAATTTAAGATAATTGAATTTCATTAAATTATTTATAAAGAAGTGTACACATTAATTTTAGCACTATATATTATATTGATCGACCCCCAACTTATAAAATATGAAATTATTTCTCTGAAAATTGATTTAAATTGTCTTCTGAATCTATACTGACAGAGGACCCCACTAGGGTACTATATATGCGTCAGTGTGCATCATCAATTTGCAATATTATAGATGTTAATAATTATAAAAGATTTATTTATTAAAAGTATATCTGACTGGTAAATGATTTTGAAATTGCTAAAAAGGTATATAATTTGATTGGTTCTTGAAGAGGGGGCTCCAACAACTGATGTCGAGGCAGCGTCGCCTTCACTAGTGCGTATACGCAGAAACACACTGGCTAATTCGATGTAACAGCAGCTTCTGCTTCGGCCCAGTGCCTCAGGTCTACTGCCGTTAGACTGCGACAGAAAACGACGCTGCCCAGAGTCTTAATAATAAAATATGTTAGTCTTTGGTAAATCATCATTTGCAAATCCGAAACATACCTCAAGCACTGATCCTTATGGAAAACACAGGAGACACAACCATAATTTGATACTTATAAAATATCTTGATTATTTTCAGAGGACACACATAAACCACTTTCGTACAGAGCTACGTTACTGCAATATTGCAGTCTGGGATTTGGGGCAGGGCTTAAGGCGCCTGCCCTTGAAGAATAAAATAATGTTGCTCAATTAAAATTTGATGAGCTGAAAGAAATACACAGTAGTTCAAAAATTACTAACTTAATCGCCGTTCCCTCATCCCCACGCAGAAACTTTATTCCCCTCCACATATTATTTATTCCGGAAATCATAGCCAACATTTTCTTGTATTTTTCTAGGAAGTTTTACAGAATACTTGTTAACAGGACTACAGTATCCAGATGAGGACATCCAATCAGCTGTTGCTTACATCCTGCTCCATCTTGCTGGGAGTCACATGACTCTCCTCAAGGAGCCGCTTGTGAATGGGCTTATTAAGAATCTCCTTGCAGTGATTTCATCTGCTCGTTCACCAGAGGTCATGATGAACTCACTAGGTAGGTGTTCATGTTCAATTCACTAGACCTAGTGTGTCTATGAGGTCTTATTTTTAATACTTCCGGGAGTCCACACACCTAGCAGAGTTGCTCCAGTATGTGAGCCGGTCACTTAGTCACGAAGTGATTTACTGTACATGGTTACCAGTAGCAGGTAGAACCTGACCTGACTGCTTGCAAAATATGTAATTTGTAAGTTGTTGACGGTTATAATTAGAATGACTGTTTAATTCTACTGTGTATTGAATTAGAAACTACAGTAGGAGCAACCTAGTACTCCAAATACAAAATAAACCTAGGGGTAAATGGTAATTAAGGCATAATTCTTCTCATTTAGAAGTAAAGAAGAAAGTCATTTTTTTTTTTTTATTAAGTTTTTTTAAATTTTAATTTATTTTTTTACTTATTTTTTTAATTTTTTTAAATTTTTTATCTTGATTTAAATCTGATTTCAGATTTTTTTCTACCTTGTCCAGCACTAGGAAAACATTTTTTTTACCATACTGTAGATTGTGTACTAAATCATTATTGTATCAAAAAACTCTGGCTTTTACGAGCTTTCTGTATGATATAATTATATTAATGATCAAAATGCATAAACCCACAAATACAGTGGCTAGACTCACTTTGGTCTTTCTTCAATATACTCCATAACCCAAGCACATTTCTGATTATTATTTTTTTTTTTTATGTTAAGAATATCATTTTTGTTAATTATAAATCTGTATCTTTATCATGAAGTTTTATTTTGTCAGTTCAATATTATTTTATGAACCCATATCACTCTTTTGAATTTCCGTATTATAATGTTCTTATATATTGTGTTCATTGTGTGTAACTAAACTGAAACTAATATGGTAATAATGACTAAAAATACTAATATGTAAAGCGTGATATATGCCATCAAAATGACATTTCCTAATACTATAATATATATATATAATATATATATATATATATATATATATATATATATAATATAAATCATCAAAGGTACATATACAGTGTTTCATAAGAACATGATGGAACATCGTAGGCTACCCTGTAGCTTTTCAACGAATAAAGTCCTATAAAATTCATTGTGTAATAAAATTCCTTGGATGGGATTCGAACCTGTGACCTTGCGCTGACAAGGCGAGCATCATAACCACTAGACCACGAAGGCTTCATGGTTGAACAGGTCCAAAAAACCGTCGGGAACATTGTATTACACAATGGTGCGCCTTAAGAGGGCGTCAGCCAGATAGATTATCTGGAGAAACGGCTAGAAATAAATACTGTTGTATATTGTATATGATATTGAAGGAAGTTAGCCGTTAACACTGCTGAATAAATATAATGTAAATCATCAAAGGTACATATACAGTGTTCAATAAGGACATGACCAGACATTACAAACTAGAGTACAATAGAATCCAGTTGCGTTTCCAATCTCCTTGTGTAGTTGTCTCAGGTGGTAATTCGCTCAACAATGTACTTAACAGATTTGCTATGCTCTTCACAGTTCATTAGTTTACTGCTATGTTTAACATGTCTAGTTAATACAGCCAGATTGTCATCTTTTACTTTAGACACTCTATAGCTGAGTAAGGCAGCAGGCGTTGCCGAAAATTTCATTTCATATACATTCATTTCATATATATATATATATATATATGGCATTATATTACACAATGACTTTTATAGGACTTTATTCGTTGAAAAGCTACAGGGTAGCCTACGATGTTCCATCATGTCCTTATTAAACAATGTATATGTACCTTTGATGATTTATATGATATATATATCAAAAGTGTTACTGTGGATGATAATTATGGTGGGGTCGTAGTAAGTATGTATACTTTAATATATTTACTCTTTACAGCATAAAAGAAGAAAAACGAATCCATACTAAAGAAATGGAAGTAAAAGAGGAGGAAATAAATTCATTGAAAGTAGAGACTGCTCAAATGTAAGATAAATAAGTTGAAACTTACTATAACTAAATGCAGTAACAAATGTTATTGTTGGTGTTTTTGATGATGCAGATAATGATGATGTTGGTGGTGATGATAAGATTATTTTACAGTATTTACTCTTACAGAATGGAAAAGGAAAAACAAATCAATATTAAGGAAATGAAAGTAAAAACCGAGGAACTAAACTCACTGATGCTGGAAAATGCTGAAATTAAAAATACGTGAGTCGATATCGATTATAACTAAATACAATGACGATAATAATAATGATGTGGCCGTGATATATTTTTATTTTACTATCTTTACTATTTACTGTTTACAGACTGGAAAAAGAGAAAAGTATCCATATTCAAGAAATAAAATTAAAAATCGAGGAACTCGACTCATTAAAAGTGGAGAATGCTGAAATTAAAAACAGGTGAAAGGAAATTTGTTATAACTATATACAGAAATAGATGCCATCGTTGAAAATGGTGATAATTATGATGATGTGATAAGTTTATATACTTTCTATATTAATTAGTCTTTACAGAATGGAAGAAGAAAAACAAATCCATATTCAAGAAATAAAAGTAAAAATCCGAGAACTTGATTCATTGAGAGTTGAGAATGCTGAAATTAAAAATAGGTAAGATGTATTGGAGTGATGTTTTGAATACTCACTACGTTTCCAAATACTACTTGTGAAAGAAATCTCGCAAGTGATTCGATT